CTAGCTATCATAACACCTGAAAGTATCTTTTGTGAATCATGGACCCTAGAATATGAACACTTAGAGGGGAGGGCCTAAGCCTGTGTTGTTTTCTATTCTAACAGCTCACCATGGGGACAGGCATTTGGCAGTAACTCCCCCAATGTATAATTTCCCCTAAGCCAAAATTCCCAGCAACCCAATAAAATCATATATCTAGAGGGGATGACATAAATTACATTATGTGGCTTTAATCAAAGGTTGCTGTTTATAGGGTGGTTGTTTTTGAGAGATAAATTAAGGTAAATGATGAAACTTTAGAAAAAAATGGACTCTCTGGAATGGAACCAAGAACAAGCTCTTAGTGCTGACCTTTTGGTTAAAGCCACATAATGTAATTTATGTCATCCCCTCTAGATATATGATTTTATTGGGTTGCTGGGAATTTTGGCTTAGGGGAAATTATACATTGGGGGAGTTACTGCCAAATGCCTGTCCCCATGGTGAGCTGTTAGAATAGAAAACAACACAGGCTTAGGCCCTCCCCTCTAAGTGTTCATATTCTAGGGTCCATGATTCACAAAAGATACTTTCAGGTGTTATGATAGCTAGTCATGACTAGTGACTGTCCTCATTAAGAGCATTGAGGACCAAAATCGTACTTTTTACAGCCTACAAAGCTATTAAATTTTGCTTCTTATAAATCTTAACGACTAGCAAATTTGAGGTTTATAAACCATTTTTGAAGTGCTGAGATCCTCTGATGAAAGCAGTTAAATCGGTCTTCAGAACCAGATGTCAACCCAATCATCAGTCACTAATTTGCTGGTTGTTAATGGACATTTCCTGGCTGATATGTTTCAGCTTTAGTATATATTAAGGTAAAATTGTATTTTGGTAACTAAGTACATTTCCTTAAATTATAGAGGTGGAGGTCACCCTCTGACTAGATCCTCTCCCTTCTTTGATGGGGTGCTCCAGGCTCACTGGCCATTAAATTTCTTTTACATTCCTTTATGACCTCATCCATTCTCCTGGCTCTGCAGGCCATCTCAATGCTGATGACCCTCAAATTTATAGGTCCAGCCTGAACCTTTCTGATCTCCAGCCTCTTGTAGTCACTTCTTCCTTGAATCTCTAGTTAAATATAAAATGCCCATCCCAAATTTAATTTGTCCAAAATGGGGCTCCTGATCTTCCATCCAAATCCTCATCTTCTCTCATGTTCTCCATCTCAGCTTCTGGTCACTACCTCTTTTCACTTGTTCAGGCCAAAACCTAAGAGTCATCCTGGAATCTTCTTTTTCTGTCACGTCCCATGTCTTGCCAGGGGCCACAATCAGAAGACAGTCATTTCTCACTGTTAACGGAGGGAAGGGTGCCTTGTCTCCCCCCATGGCTGGTGGGAGTGGGCTTCTTGGGGGTACCACTAGAATAGGCATTGTTAGAGACCCCCACAGGAGGTAGATGAGTTATAGTAGAAAGCTTTGTTTTCCATGGAATTACACCCCTGGGTTTCCAAAGTCCCATTTCCCTTAGTCCAGTCATAGAAGTGTAGCTGGGGTTTCAGTAGAGCTAAAATCAGAGCCAGTGTCCAGAATGTCCTTTCTGTAATTTGCATAATCCCATATAACATCAGGCTAGCCAGTTTGTGTTTCTCGGTGCAGTCCATTAATCCATTATGTGTGAGGTCCGCATGGCCATGAGCCATAGAGGTGAATGCAAGAGAGTAGGAGCAAAAGAGCCCCACAAGCCAAGAGTGGAGGGCAACAAGAGAGGGAATTCCTTTGTTTAGGGGATTATGTATTCCCAAGTGTTCTTGCCCTTGCAGTGGCCAGGCTCATTCTGGCCAATCATCTCTGTCCTCAGGTGTGATTGACAGGCAAGACCTTCCCTATGTCACCCCAGCTTTACTGGGCATGTGTCTGTCTTCCCTGTGTTTGATCCCTCCCCCAGTGTTTTGCAGGGAACATCCCTCTAATGTCTGTCCTTCTCTTTGCTCCTTTCCTGTTATTAATAACTAGTTAATTACAACAGTATCATCACCGCCTACGTGTTCAGAGTAGATCTAGAACCAAACCACTTCTCACTTCTCACCACTTTCACCACCACCACCTCGTTCAAGCTGCCATATCACACACCTGTATTCCTGTGGAAGTTTCTAGCTGTCTCCCTGCTTTCTCTCTTAACTGCTCTTCATTCATGAGTGATCCTGTTAAAATCTAAGTCACATCACATGACTCCTCTCAGCCCTCCAGTGACTTCCCACCTTCCCACCACAACCCCACAGGATCTGCTCCCTGATCTCATCTTCTGTTTCTCTCTTCTTGGCTCTAGTCACACTGGTTTTCTCAACAGTGCTCCTCAAACACCCAGATGCGCCCGCACCTCAGGACCCGTGCACTTGTGTGTTCGTCCCCCTGGAGTGGTCTTCCCTGGATGGTTGCACTGTTCACTCCTTCCTCTCCTTTGGGTTTTTATTCAAATGTCAAAAGTGTTCCCCGACCACTTCATTTAAAATTACCACCCTTCTCTCCATCTCCCAAATACTCTCTTCCCCCAGCACTCCTCATGCCCCTTACGGCTTTTTCTCCCTTTTACTCCCTGACATGCCATTTATTCTGATTCTTTGTTGTTCATGTCTTATTTACTCCCACTAGGATGTACAGAGGTCCGCAGTCTTTGTCCATGGCTAGAATCTCTGGCATCTAGAATAAATAGTGCCTGATAGAGTCTAGATAAACATTTGTTGAAGTAGTTAATTAATTAATTTGTATTTCTCTTTTTCTGTGGCACATCTTCTCAGCCACATATCTATTGGCACCTTAGATGTTTTTCTTCACGATATGAGGAATATCCAGCTCTTTCTGACATTTGTTGCCAATATTTATTTCTCTGCTATTTAATTTAGTTGTATGTATTTTACAAACTGAAGCTGACATCTTTGTAGGACCAAAGCTGTGGGTTTCTATAATTGCTGTTTTGCTTCGTGTGGTCCTTCGGAAGTCAGCACAGCCCTAATACTCCAGAGCAGAGGGTCAGGCTGCATTTTCCTGTGCTCACGTCCTTGCGTCCCCTGCAGGCCTCAATAGGAAGGTCGTGTACTCCCTGGCCGACTCCGCCCATGGGTTCTTCTCCATTGACCAGTCGTCTGGCATCATCATCCTGGAGCAGCCGCTGGACCGAGAGCAGCAGCCCTCCTACAACATCAGCGTGCAGGCCACCGACCAGAGCCCCGGGCGGGCCCTGTCCTCTCTCGCCACCGTCACCATCACCGTCCTGGACATTAACGACAACCCGCCTGTGTTTGAAAGGAGGGACTACCTGGTGACCGTACCTGAAGACACTTCCCCTGGCACCCAAGTCCTTGCTGTTTTTGCCACCAGCAAAGATATTGGCACGAATGCTGAGATCACGTATCTCATTCGGTCTGGGAATGAACGAGGGACATTTACAATCAACCCCAAGACAGGTGAGTAAAGAACAGTTGACTTCAAACTCAAGGCTTCAGTCTATCCTGCTTCCGCTCCTGACCCTTGACCACTTCTCTTCTGGGCTCCGTTCCTCCCGCTTCTTCCCTTGCAGCAAAAGCTAGTCTCAGGGCAGGGCTGCAGGCAGGCCCCAGCGGCCCTCCACCCTCTGCTTCTGAGGATGCCCCTGCCGAGCTGGAAGCTCCTGCTGCGGGCTCCCTGGCAGAACTGAGCCCCAGGCTGCCTCCAGGATTTCCCGCAGGAAGGATGGGGACAGTCACGCGCTTCCCGGATGAGGAAATATTCTTTGCATGCCGAGCACAAGGCTTTGTTTGTTTCTCTTTTCTGTTTGCTTCTTTGTTCTCTAGCTTGGATCATGTGTTTATGTGTTTGGAAGTGCTCCTGGAGATCAGCGTTCACTCACCGCCGTCCACACCCAGGCTGCCACTCTCTGGTCATCTGCCAAGGCAGACCTTGATAAGTGACCTGACCGTGACCCGCAGGGCTTCCCAACCTGGCGCCCCAGTCAGCTGGAACTGAGACCGCCTTTGAGTCCTAGTCACTGCTCCTGGTTATGACATTGTCATTTCAAACCCTGGGGGAGGACGTGGCATCGTTTAGGGAAAAGGTGCCTAGAAAGAAATAAGAAAAACCCCTAGGGCTTTCTGTTTATCAGAGAGTTAATAACTATTAGGGGTAACTTGGGTAAATAAAGGTGGCAACTTAGAATACAAGCTTAGATGTTCTTTGAAAAGTAAACATATTCGCCCTTGTATTTTCATAGTGTTTATATTAATATTTTCAAAGCACTTTCATAGATATTCTCATTTGCTTATGTCCCTATGAATAGGCAAGGCAACCCCATTTTGCAGATAAGAAAGGTGAGTCTCTCACATCTTCTGGCCACTGGACATAATTCCCTCATTACTCAAGGAATATGCACTTGTTGTGTAAGGTGACAAAGGAGGTCCATTTGGATAGTCCAGTAAATGCAAACAAGAAACTAGCATAATTAGCATAATTAGCAATGCTCTTTAACATAACAAATGCACCAGGTTCCTATTAAATCATCGGTTATTTCTCACATTTTTCTATATGAGAAAAACAGAGCTTCAGAGAGATTAATTTTTCCAGTGTCCACTGTGAGTCAGCAGAGGATTCAGGATTTGAACTCGGATCTTCCTGACTATGGAATACATGCTTAACATCTAAATTACATTGATATGCTGTGGAGGGTGCAAAAAATGAAGGCGATATAGTCCCTGCCCCTAAGTATAGGGAGGTGGAAATATTGATGAAGGAACTACCTTAGCAGCTTCTCCCAGCAGTAACTCTATTTATTAAGGTCATTACTTCAAATTAAAATGTATGGGGGTTTTCCTCATTTAAATATGTGTTAGCCTTAGCCTGTCTCATTATGGCCACTATATATGAACACCATGGGGAAATGGCTAAGTACTATTTAAATTTGGCACTGGATAACAAGACTGGGGTGCAACACAACATGCTAGGGGTGATAATTGCTCAGAAAACTTAATTATGGGGAGAAAAAGGCTCTTGTTATAAGTGAAGCTTCTGTTTCTCACCTTAAGTAGAAGGACAGCCTTAGCTTCTAGAGAAGTTGCCCGTTTAGAAATGTGAGTGGATGTGACATACTCACTTGGTCCTACTGGTTGTTTTTCAGGTGGGAGAAAAGTCTATGCCCTTGAGAGCTGCTCTGCAGGCAGTGCAATGACCAGTAACCAATTGCAGAATGAGGGAAGGATTGGGTTGCGTCACCAGAAAGGGCTAGGACGGGAGGGAAAATCGCTCTCACGGAACTTCTCCCAGGGGAGCACCCAGCTAGCTGCTTTCACCTGCTCTATTTGCTTAACTTAAATATATCTGCGGCACAGGCATTATCTCTGCTCTGTGCTTGTAGACACTAAGCTCACACTTACTATTTGGCCACTGACTCCCAGGCATTTTCTGTTACCAATTTTCTTTTTCCAATACCTTGACATTTCTGAGATCCTTGCCCTCTTTGTGCCATAATAGTTTTAGATAAGCACAGAAAGCTGAAGACCAGGAACATAGGAGATATTTTTAATGAGATTTCAGCTATCTGAAAGTATTTACTTGCTGATGAGGGATGGGGTCATGCACTCACACCCACACATCTCAGCTCATTCTTGGACAGCCTGGGTCCACTTGAGGAGTCATCGAGAGACACTTATCACAGATATTGTTCCCGTCCCTACTCCCTAGTTGCATAAGGGTGAATAATGCCAGAGACTGGCTGCTTGAGAAAAGTTTAGGAACTATTGCAGAAACATGCAGAGACTTAACTTCTTCAGTGTTGTGTCTGATGGATAGCTGAATTTTAACTGACAGCATTAATCAGACTCTGGATGCTTTCAGCAGGGCATTAAATAAACAAATTCCTGAATATCTAATATTCTTGGCTGGAGATGATGTTATAAACATTTCCATGATTATGGAACTGCTGGCCAATGTTTTTTCCCCAATCAAGTCTAAAGCTCTCCATTTTTCTTTAAAGGGGGTATTTCAGTCTCTGAAGTCCTGGACTATGAATTATGCAAAAAGTTTTACCTGGTGGTGGAAGCTAAAGATGGGGGCACCCCAGCTCTCAGCGCCGTGGCCACTGTCAACATCAACCTCACAGATGTGAATGACAACCCTCCAAAGTTCAGCCAAGATGTCTACAGTGCGGTCATAAGTGAAGATGCCTCGGTTGGGGACTCTGTCATTTTGGTAGGTGCCGTCGGGAGGTCCAGATGTCTTGGACTAATAATCCTCAATAGCGTGAAAAAGTGAGCAAACTGTCTTGGGTTCTTTACACACTTTTTCTTTCCAGTGTTCTTTTGTCCCCAAGAGCTCTGGTCAGGCACTAGTCTTTCAATTGCTCCCTCTCCAGTGTGTCTATTAGAAAGGGTCTGAAAAATGCATTTATATCAAGGTACAAGTGACTGATAATCATTTTCTTCCCAGGAATGTATATTTTTTGAGAAAACAAAACACCCCATGGAATGAATTTGTAATGATGGCTCCTACTAACTTGTGACCTTAGATAAGCTATTAGGTAGCTAAGGATAGAATAAAATCTCTCCCAGTCCCCTACACACACACACACACACACACACACACACACACACACACAGAGTAAGGCAGCTACAAATATGGGAGCAAGTTTAAGATGAATTGGCCACTCTTAGAGGAGCTCTTTCCAGAAGGTTTTTTTCTAATACCAGTAGGAATATATCATGTGTTGGGAGAACACAGGCTCTCTCAGACTTACACTTGACATTCTGGAAACAATGAATCCCATCCTCACCATGCTCAAATCCATAGGTTGGACAGGTCCCTTCCATTCATTATCTCTGGCTCCTGCAGCACCAAGTTGTGGGTGTGCATTCTTTACCTGTCAGAGATGGGCTTCCCAGGCCCTCTCTCCTTCCTGGACATTATAGAACTATTCCCACACATATAAATCCCAGCATCACCAATATGAGCAGCAGGCAGTGGGGAGTATTTTGGCCAGATGGGAGAGGGAATTTTCTTGGGCTTCCATAACATGGAAATATACAGGTTGAGAGAATGCTCAGCTCAGTGGCAGAGACCATTATTTTGCAAAATTGGGAAAGAACCACAAGAGTATCCATCCCTATCAGTTAGCTTTGGCTCTAGCTGTACTAGCTCCAAGCCTGAGGAAAATCAGACCTAACAAGCATCAGGCTGTAGGCAGGTAAAAATTAACAGAAATAAAATGGCAGCTCCAGCAATGGTGGTTTCCTTCTTGAGCCAACCCCATCATCTCTTCCACTGGGGTTATGATCACAGTCACCACTGAGCATAGCACCGATGAAAACCGTCAGAGCTATGCCCATTTGTGCAGACCTGGAACCCTAAGAATAAACCTTTTCTCTTGTGTCATGTCTTTCCTTTGTTTTGCTTGTGTCCCATGAAGCTAATAGCAGAAGATGCAGATAGCCAGCCCAATGGACAGATTCAGTTTTCCATTGTGAGTGGAGATCGGGACAATGAATTTGCTGTGGATCCTGTCTTGGGACTTGTGAAGGTTAAGAAGAAATTGGACCGGGAACGGGTAAGCTAGTTTAGGCCAGCTCCCTTCCCACCAACTCCCATCCGCACCCATCCCTTCACTGGAATCCAGCACTGGCTCAATGATTATAAGTAGGAAGAGTCTCTGTTCTAAATACTGAGAGTAAAAAGGGATGGGCTAAAATACAGCACAATGAATTTGGGCTAGGCCCTTGAAAAAATTTTCTGCCAATAGATGCTGGCAGTTTCTTACTTATGGGTATTTTAAAGAAAAGCAAATATGTATCTTCCTGGATGGTTTGAATTTTGGCCCTTCCTGGAGCAAGGAGGCAGAAAAACATCCTGAGCATTGGGATCCTGTGATCATGGTTTCATGAGCAGGTACAGAAGGATCATCTGAAGTTATCTGGGTCAAAAAGAATGATTCAGAAAAATTCCTCTGTCCAAGGTTAAACTAAGTTTCTAAACATTGTCTTTTTTGGCCAAAAAAAAAAAAATGTGTCTTCAAAGAGAAATTAAATATGGAAAAAGGTGTTCTAGTAGTAATGCTAAAAAAGCAGAAAGGCCTCACTGAGTGATATAATCTCATAACTCCCAAAGTATCAAAACTGATAAGATAGATCAGTGTTGACAACGGTTGTGTCTGAACAAAGCTCAAGAGCTGTGGTGCTAACCAGGGATGGTTTTGTATCCTTCCCCCCCACCCGATAACATATGGTTTTGTCCCTCATATGTTTGGAGGCATTTTCAGTTGTCACAAATTGGCAGAAGGTGATACTGGCTTCTAGTAGACTGAGACCAGGGATGCTGCTAAACATTCTACAATGCACAGGTCAACCCTCAACAACAATTACCTGGCTCCAAATGTCAATGGTGCTGTGGTTGAGAAACCCTGGTTTAGAATCAAAGAGAAGATGGTTGAACTTCAACAAAGCAGAGCAGAACCTGCAGCACCTCTGAATGTGAGCAAAAGGAAGGAGGTGCTTCACTGTCAGCCCTTTGTGCTTCGACAGGTGTCTGGATACTCCCTGCTTGTCCAGGCAGTAGACAGTGGCTTTCCTGTGATGTCGTCAACTGCTACTGTCAACATTGATATTTCTGATGTGAACGACAACAGCCCAGTCTTTACACCTGCTAACTATACTGCTGTGATTCAGGTGAGCAAATCTTGCCTGTCAGGCACGTGTCTTTATGCACTCAGCTTCCTTTCTCTGCTGCGGTTCACTGGTCATGGTTTTTACTGTTTTAGCATAATAGCAACTCATCCAGTCATTGGGCTGGTATAAAAAAGAGCCTGATTCTTCTATTGCAACTGATTGATAAACATTGATAAGTGCAATCACCAATGGGGTTCTCTCCAGTGTCAGGTATGTTCCATACACTGTCTGTCCCCACCACAGCCCTGTGAAGTGGGATGGTGGATCAGCCACCCATGGATGGTGAAGGAGCTAAGGTTCTGAGGAGTTAAGTAGCTCACCCAAGATCATTCAGCTAAGTGGTAGAGTCAGGATTAGAACTCAGGCCTGTCTTTGGCAAAAACTATTTTCTTTTCATGAAGGCTGCCTTTAAGCCACTTCGTGCTATTCTGGCTTGGGAGGGAGATTGATACAGACTGTGTCATCAGTCAAAGGGAGATTGGGCACCAGGATAGAGCTGCTATTCACTAAAATCACTCTTCCAAAAGCAATATGTTTAGCACTTCAAGTCCACTAGCTCTTTAAATTTAGACTACAGGATGGGGTAACTGCAATCAGAATGACTCTCTTTCCTATCTATTTTTTCTTATTCTAAAGATATTTCATGAGCACAGTACTAAGCACTGATCCATCTCCACTTCCCAGAGTTTCTAGAAGCTGGAAACTGACTTCAGAAGGATCAGGAAATTCAGTTTGGTAATACTGTCCGTGTGGAGGACTTAAAGGAGCCAGGGATTGATATATATGTGTTGGGAGGCCACAGGTAGTCTAGAGAATCAGCTCTTGCCTGATCCAGTTTGACTTCAGAATCACCCCTCAAGGGGGCCCAGGGCTTTGTGGGTAGAAGGTAAGATGAGAGTGAGCTAGGCCTTGAGGGACCCTTTTGGATTAACATTCAAGACTGAGTCTGGCCATCCATAGCTGGCTCCCCCTGCACCACTGAGCTGTCCAGGAATCCGGCTGAGAGGCCTTCAGAAAGCCAGCAACTCTCCACCTCTTTCCCACCCCTTTGTCATCGAAACCCGATCCCTTCACCTGCTGGTATTTGGTTTTCCTCTCCTCTCTGATGCTTTTTCCAGCAACTGTGCATTCTCTCTCCCCCACTTCATGCAGGGCCTGCACCTTCCTCCATCCCTCCTCCTCTCAGACAGCCCTTCCCCACAGTGACACTCACTGACTCTCCCGCCTCTGTGTGCTCGCCCCTCAATGACATGGGCTTTGCCTACTCAACATTCAGTTTTGTGACACACATACATCAGCTTGACAGACTGTTTCCCATGCACAACAGGAAGTTGGCAGTGAAAGAACCGAGAACCACAGCCTTGAGCAGTGACCGTGGCTCATATCTGCAATGCCGGGGCCTGGCCGTGTTGTATTTCACCCTTCTTTCTCTGATGGTGACCCTAGGCACACATTTTCTCTCTCTTTCTCTTTCTTCCCTCCCTCCCCCCCTTTCTCTTCTCTGGAGGAAATGGCCTTTATAGACTGAGCAAACAAATCGATAAGTCTTCTGTTCTGCTTGGTGCTGAGTATGCTGTCATTGTGAAATAGTAAATCCACACTGGACGGTGGTGGTTCCACGATTGATTCCGGATGGAGACTGTGTCTAGATCCTAATGACCAAAAGGCCACCTGAGACAAGTGGCAAAATAAGAGGTCTTTGAGGTCCTTCTCTCTTTTCTCCTTCAAAAAGTGTTTCTCCCTTTTTAGAACCCAGAATAATTTTCTTATTCCAACACATGGTTTTTATAAGACTAATTCGGCACATTAAACTTGAGTGTACGGGCCCTGTGCATGACTTCCCTCCAAACTGCAGCGTATCATTGTCTTCATCTCTGTGACCCAAGCTCATTGAATCCTAAATCGATGTCATCAGAAGGCCTGAACTAATGAAACTGACTTCAGGCCCCAGCCGTGGTAATTCTTAAGTCTAAACAGAGTGGGGCAAGGGAACCAATGCCTGAGCTACAGAGGAATTTAATTTGGTGTTTTCAAAGTGAAGATAACCTTTGAGCCAAGAAAGGAGAACAAAGATCCTTTGTGTTTCTATTTTGGGGGAAAGGCAGAGAGGTTCTACAAAATAATGCTTGCATAACATCAGGGCTTCCAAAAATTCTGATGAAGTTAAGGATTTCCTTTCTCTTCATTCTCAAGTTGAGAAATATTCTGACCCCCTTCTGTTTCCTTGAAAAACATGGCAAAACTTGAGTTCTGAGGTGTACAGGGAAAGCCCATTTTCCACCTGCATATGCCTTTGTATATTTACTGGGAAGTTGCCAGGCTGTCCCCCCAGAAGTCCAATGTTGTGACATTGTGTCACAGTGTTGGGCCTCAGCATTACCATGTTGTGACAAGTGTGAGGAAGTGCCTTCCCATCCCAAAGGGTTGATGCTTTCTTAGCCTGAGAGGATTCTTGATGTAATTAAGAAGGCCAGTGAGCACCGTATATTTCCAGAGCTGTCCAGGTGAACTCAGCACAGTTCCAGCCCAGCCAAGGACAAAGCGTAGCAGTACCACCTTTGGAACCTATAAACCCGCTCGAGGTGAAGCCCTGAGTTCTCGCCTGCTGCCCATTGTCTCCTGGGGCAGTTGTGGGGAGGCAACTAGAGACGGGAACCGTGACGCTTACAGACGCCAGTGTATTTTCAGAAGACAACATAATATCCCAGGGAGTCCCTTCCTCTAAGCCGTTCTCTAGCGCAGCACTCTCAGCTGGTAATGATGGGGTTTCTTAAAATGTGAAGAGAGGTGTAATTTTAGCTTCCTTTTTAATATACTCTTTTATTCAGGAAAATAAGCCCGTAGGCACCAGCATTTTGCAGCTGGTGGTGACAGACAGAGACTCCTTCCACAACGGGCCTCCCTTCTCCTTCTCCATCCTGTCGGGAAACGAGGAGGCGGAGTTCGTGCTGGACCCGCACGGGACCCTGCGGTCGGCCGTGGTCTTCCGGCACACGGAGTCTCCGGAGTACGTGCTGCGTGTCCAGGTACAGGCTCGTTCCCGGCCCTCGCCAGGCTGCCTTTCCGCAGGCTTGTTTCTGTGCCCGTCAGTTGGTTTTCCTTTGTTGAGCCAGTCAACATAATTCATTGCCATGCAGGAATGTCCCCCTTTTAATCTCAAATTCAATTTCACACCAATAAGAGCGGCCCCTGTGTGTGAAATTGAACAGGAAAGGAGGGAAGCATCATAGTGCGGCAGGGACATTCCTGCAGGGTGTGCCAGGCAGACCGTCGCAGGGCCTAAATCTGCATTCCGAGAACTCCTGGGGTTCTAACTGACCCCCGAAGGCAACCAGCTGGTCAAGGGTTGCTGCTGTGTACAGTCGTGTTGTACACATTGATCCAATGTGATTGAGCCAGATCATGGCCTCTGCTTTTGAAGAGACCGCTGCTGGGTAAGTTTTCTCAGTGAGACAGGAGGGGACCAAGCACCCAGATGGCAGTGGTGTCCCAACAGGGTCACTGGCCTGTGTACAATGAAATGGGACAAAGAGACAAGAGTGGCAGGTATGGACCGGGTATGGATAGGAGCACGAAATAAGAGAGCACCAAAAGTTTCTAAGTGTGAATTTTTCCAGTACCAAGATAGTCCCATCAGTGAAACTGAATGACTTTTTTTACACACAGTTGCCATAGAGGGCAACCTAAAGTCACTATTTATGGTGACAATAATAACCATGGATTTTTAAATATTTTTATAGCATTTAATTGTGTACATCATTTCTTTTGATACTTTATGGCTTACTGTGCTCTATGAAACTTTATGAATTAATGACTTTTGGCTCTGAGCATGTCCATGAACGCTTCAGCTGCCACCCATTCCTCCAACAATATTATGGAAATAGTTTTATTCACAGTATACATGCTCAAGGGCAAGGAGAGATTTTTAGTGCCTTCTCACAGAAGTGAGTATAGTTCTTTGCCTACTTTCTCTGATTGTTAGAGAGCAGAGTCACATCTCAGACTTTGAAAACACTATAGAAAGCTTTCTCCTCCCAGTTCCTTATATCAAACTACTATCAAGCCTTGTACTTTTGCCTTCCTAAGGTCCCCAAGTGCATCAGTTACATTCCCTTTGCCACTGTCCACTTTATTCCAGATGACACCACCCTCATACTATTGCAAAAGCCTCAAGGGTGATTCCTCTGGCTTCAGCCTCATTCTTTTCTGAGCCATCCCTACACCCCTTCCAAATTAATCATCTCACTTTGACTATGTCATTCCCTTAGACCACATCATGTCCTCAGCCTGTTTTTATCAATAAAGTTTTCTTGGAACACAGCCTTGCCCATTCATATGCTCTGTGGCTGCTGCCGCCATGGTAGAATCAGAGCTGAGTAGTTGATAGAGAAGGTATAACCCCCAAAGCCTAAACTACTGTTTCTTATCTTGCACTTTACAGAAAAGGTGTGTCAACCCCCGCCCTAAACTAAAACCATTTGTGGCTTCCTAGCGCCTGAAAATGTGTGGCCTGCAGGCTAAATTCTGGCCCAGACTCAGATTCTGAATTTCAGGGTGTTTAGGCAGATAGGAACTCTCCAGTCCTTTTCAGGCCACAGGCCCACTAGTCTATTGCCTTACTCCCAGCGGCTTCATGCCTTTCTGTCATCTTTCTGACCTCTGACCGGGCAACCTCTGAATTATAAAGTCCAAACTTACCACTGTCCTTTGAAACCCTCTACAGTTTGAAACCCTCCAAGTTCAGCCTAATTTGCTAAACGTACCTTTTTCTGCATGAAATTTTCCATGTCAGAATCTCTGGTTCACAAAGTCCATCAAATAAAGCATGGTGTGAAGGTAATAATAAAAATAACACCCATCACACTGACTCTCATAAACTAAGTACTTCTGTGGGTCAGACCTGTGCTAAGCACTTAGCAATTACACTGTCTTTTAATCCTTATAATACAAGAATCCTGTGAAGTAAATACTATTATTTTACTCATATTAAAATACAAGAATTAAAGCTGAGTGAGGATAAGTAACTTACTCAAAGCCAGATGTGTACTGAGCAGCAGGACCAAGATTTGAACTCGAGTCTGTGGGATGCCCAAGCCCCTGCTGCCTTCCACATACAAGGGCACACCTCCCCAGATTCCATCCAGCCTGCAAGGTCCACTTCAGCCTGTCTCTTCAGCCATCTGCCCTGGGGACCCGGCCTTTAGGAACCTGCCCTTCACTGAAGCCCTATAGCACTGACTACCTCCACATTGCATGTCAGGTGCTCAGTAAAGATCTGTTGTCAGAGTGGTGGTTCCATCAACTGATATAAAGAAAGAAGACAAAAAGGGATTATTCAGGCTACCTGTTTTCTCCTTCAGTGTACCGTTCTTTATTCTAAACCTTAATATTGTGTAATTCCCACTTAAATAATGTTGTTTCTTAAGTGTACAGGAAGGTGTCATCCAGTCCAATCAAAATGAAAGAATTTAAAGAGAGGAAAAATTTTTCTTCTGTCCTGGCCGGGTAGCTCAGTTGGTTAGAGCATCGTCCCAATGCGCCAAGTTTGCAGGTTCAGTCCTGGTCAGGACACGGACAAAAATCAACTAATGCATGTATAAATATGTAGAACAACAAATTGGTGTTTCTCTGTCTTTCTCTTTCTCTCTCCCTCTTTCTCTCTAAAATCAATCAATAAACTTTTTTTAAAAAAATTGCTTTCCAAGAGCAAACACCAGTTTATAAGGTTTCCTTATGGCTTCTCTCCAAAACGAAAACAAGGCCAGCCTGTTGTGGGCATGTTGGATCTCATAGCACCCTCTAGCCTCCTTCCCTGCTCACCCCACTGGCTTTATTGTGTTGATACATTTTATTGTCCATAACAAAGTGTACATGTGGGGACTGAAGGTAATAAATCTCTCCTCTTAAGTGCACATCTTCAGCATTTTGCAGACTAGAGGCAGGGGATGGAGGAAGAGCCGAAGGCAGTTAAAGGAGTAGACATCTTCTGGGTTTTGTTGTTTTTTTAAATGACTGTGATTTTTTTCCTTAGCTCCTTACCTTTCTCCCTCCTGGCGGTTTTAGGCGAAAGACTCCGGCAAACCCCAGCAAGTTTCTCACTCCTACATCCGTGTGCGGGTCATTGAGGAAAGTATCCACAAGCCCACGGCCATCCCTCTGGAGATTTTCATCGTCACCATGGAGGACGACTTTCCTGGCGGAGTCATTGGGAAGATCCACGCCACAGACCAAGACATGTACGATGTGCTCACGTTTGCCCTGAAATCCGAGCAGAAAAGCTTGTTCAAAGTGAACAGTCATGATGGGAAAATCATCGCCTTGGGAGGCCTGGACAGTGGCAAGTATGTCCTGAATGTGTCGGTGAGCGACGGTCGCTTCCAGGTGCCCATCGACGTGGTCGTACACGTGGAGCAGCTGGTGCACGAGATGCTGCAGAACACCGTCACCATCCGCTTCGAGAACGTGTCCCCCGAGGACTTCGTGGGGCTGCACATGCACGGCTTCCGGCGCACCCTGCGGAACGCGGTCCTCACGCAGAAGCAGGACAGCCTGCACATCATCAGCATCCAGCCCGTGGCGGGCACCAGCCAGCTGGACATGCTGTTTGCGGTGGAGACGCACGGCAGCGAGTTCTACAAGCCGGCCTACCTCATCCAGAAGCTGTCCAATGCCAGGCGGCACCTGGAGAACGTCATGCGCATCTCGGCCATCCTGGAGAAGAACTGCTCAGGGCTGGACTGCCAGGAGCAGCACTGTGAGCAGGGCCTGTCGCTGGATTCCCACGCACTCATGACCTACAGCACAGCTCGCATCAGCTTCGTGTGTCCGCGCTTCTACAGGAACGTGCGCTGCACCTGTAACGGTGAGTGCGGTTTAGAGCCCCCTCCTTCCCACCTCACCTCCTGAGATCAGAGTAGCCTGGGTTACCATTCCTGGTAAGCACACATTTGTTCATTCACTCACTCAACAGAATATTTACTGACCACCTACTATGTGTCTAGCAACCATGAGAGATCTGGGGCTATGGGGTAACAAGACAAGTTCAGGCCCTACTTCCACAGAGCACACGGCTTACGAGCAGCCCAGACATACAAACAGGCCAGCTTGGGCATGTGCAATAGGTATTGTTAGGTAAAGTACAGTCCTTCTGGAGGATCCAATCCAGAGGGAAGGTTTTCTAAAGGGAGTATGTCTAGGCTGAGATAAAGGATAAGTAGGAATTAAGCATGTGAAAACAGGTAGGGGAAGGAGAGTGTTCCAGGTGGAGGGAGCCTTGTATGAGAAAGGCTTAAGGGCAAGAGAGGAACCCCAACACTGAGGGGATTGGAAGAGATTTCCTGTCGCTTGAAGGAGCGGGAACTGATGACAGATGAGACTTGTGAGCAAGCCCTGGGACCACACAGGGGTTAGCCAGGATGAAGATTTTAGAAATGACCCCAGGGCAGTGGCAACCATCGGCCGATTTGAAGTGAAGAAATGACAGGATCTGCTCTCCTTCACAAAGATCATGCTGGCTGCAGAGGGATGGATTAGACTGGGCCAGGACAGCGGCAGGGAAACAAGTTAGGAAGCTATTGCAGAGGGCACGTCAGCTTGATTTGCTTCAGTGAAAAATAGGGGCCAGATATCTGAGAGCACAGTCAAGGGATGGAGTGAGCTCTCAGAGCAGCAGAGATGGAATGTTTTGTGATCCTTGATGTAACTAGAGTCACTGAACCTTGACCTTTCCTGGTCAGAGGCCGTAACTGCACAGAGTCACATGCTCACAGCGGTCAGTGAGAAGCATTGCTCCCCCCTCTTTTCCTCTCTCTGACATGTAGAGCCATAAATTCACTGCCCTCTTCTAAGAAAATTGCACCCAGTCTTTCTAGCCAGTGTGAACTTGGCCCAAACGGACTGTAGCCAGAAGAAAGGCCATTTGTAAAACATCCCCTTAGGTAATTGGGGACTGGCAGGGCCCCTGGCCTCATCCCTTGTAGAAAGTTCTTGGTTGCAGTTTGGAAAATGAGCTCATCAGAGGAAGACCACAGAGTTCATAGGTCCCTTTAAGAGATATTTCGATAGCCCCCAAGCAGCCCAGGAGAGTTCTAGCCTCTTAGTCTGCACCCAGTGAATTCTGTTTCTGTTTTAAAGAGGTAGATGCAATGATGTCTGCCCGGTTGAACATGTAAATTAGTTCCAAAACAACTCAAAGCATGCAGTGCCTTTCTGGCAGATGCCACCAACATGCAGGATTTATGAATGCCAGCTGCCCGGGCCTCACCTAGGTTTCCTCTGTAGGCAACCTGATTTATGCACCAGAGCTCTGTTAGGGCCTTGGTGCAGTGATTCCCAGCAGGGTTCAAAAGACATTCACCACAGGACAGGGCAGACCCTTCAGTAGAAACTAAACCAGTTAATTAATCCTTGTACTCTAAGAACTTGTTTCATTCAGCAAAAATCAGTGGAGGCAGCAATGTTCTAGGCACTGAAGATTCAGAGTAAAAAAGGTACATTCCCTGCGCTCAGGAGCTGGCTATTGTGAAGTCAGCTTGCAAGTACCTATTTGCAATAAAAATGTTGTAGTAAATGCTAGAAAGCAGAAAGAACAGAGTCCTCGTTGTAGCCAAAGGAAAGCCTTCTGTGACATTTGTACAGGAGAGATCATCTAGGTGCTGGGCCTTGAGGGATGAGTATGAGTTCATCAAGAAGAGACAGGGTGAGGGCAGACTTGGCAGAACTTCTTTAAAGGAGGGATTTAGAGGGTTGACTTTGGTTGGGGGTTGGGGGGGTTGCTCTGCATTTTTCATGAGACACTAATGTTTTAAATGCAGCTAGTGTCAAGGTGGTTTCCTTGTCCTGAACTCCTGTTCTCTAGTCCCCATAAACCTTTCTACTCCTAGTAAATGCAGAATGCTGGAATGTTTTGTGACTCGGCCCCCAGACATCCTGCGAGCAGGCCTTGGTTTGAAAAGCAAACATTTCCTCATTGGGAGCTCTCTGCAGACTCAGGTCCACCCTAGAGCCTCTTCTCACCTCCAAGTAACTCTTATAATTAAGCTATAAAATAAAATACTGGATTTTAATGGTAAAGGGGCCCCAAAAGGTCATCTTGTCTCAGCAGGAGATATGTGATAAATTCTGTTTTATAAATGCAATGGCTCTGTGCCTTGCCCAGGGCCATACAGCTGGTGAGAGTGGCATGCTGATTCAGTGAAGGTTCATCTGGGGCCCGTATTTTATTATCTGCATCTTAAGAACAAAGACTCTTCAATTTTTTATGTGAGTCATTACCCCAGTGCTGTGTACCCTATAGGAATACTCAAATAACCCTGCTATTCCTGGCAGACTAATCCCCAGATTCACAATATCATCGCAGGATGGCAGAGGGTCTCTCAGACTGCAGTATGCACAGGACTTACTAGAAATGCCCATTGCTGATCCCCACACTCAGATATAACAGGAGGTTCCAGGTGGAACCTAGGATCTATATGTGCAGCCTGGGTGATTCTAATGCTAGTGGTCAGAAAATCAAACTTTGGGAAATCTCACAGCAAGATAAAGCAGAAAAAATTTCCTCCAGGTTCAGGGGGCAAGCTTTTAGTTATTATAGTAATAGCTCTCTCACTTCTTGTAAAGCATCCTCTTAAATAAAAAATACAGTGAAGAACTATTAAGGAAAGCATTAGGCATTTTAGGCATCTTCTGATTTATTGGAAAGGAGAGGTAATTGAATTCCATAAATCACACACACACACACACAAAACTAGTATTGGATTACCCTGGAAGATTGGCAGATTCATTCAATGGACTTCCCCACCACTTGGTGGAATAATTAGCATAATAAGGGCTATGTAGTAATATTTATAAAGATTTGTCCTCAATATTTATCCCTCTCCTAACTTCTTTTTCTCGTGCAAATTTTAGGGTCCAATTAACAAAATTAGCTTCTTGAACCAAAATGTCCGGTTGCATTGAAAAAATGAGAGCAAACTTGAATATTAGTGCCAAATAGGTTCATTAAATTCCAGCCACCAGCAAGCATCTCATTTGAACAGAAGTTCAAGATACACAAAGTTCTGATGTCATGAGATTGTGCCTGGTAAACTTCAGAGATTGTGCCTTCACTGAGAAAACCTGACACCAACTTCAGTGACTAGGGCATGATAGATGCCCTGGAGCCCCACAGCGGAAGCAAGCGAGCACAGCATCAGGGGCAGTCCATAAGGCTGGGCTGATTGTCTATTTGGGAAAATTTTCATTGATGTTTCAAAAGCCTGATATAGCAATAGATCAAAAAGGAGACATTTTTCCAGGAGAATGGGCATCCCATGAGATCATCAGAGTTTCAGGCCCGTGCGTTTATGACTGATGGTGGAAGTAGAAGCCTGATTTGTTAAGTCCCAGTTCAGATATGGAACACAGAATGGAAGCCAGAGCTCCAAATGAACTGAACAGTGTTTGGATGAAGCGCTGTGCCAGGCAGGTGAAACAGCAGCAGTCACACCTTCAATCATGGGCTGTGGCACTGTCGTAAATGTTTGCTCGGGAAGGTAGGAGGAGCACTGGAGCACATCACTGAGGGGAATGCCACCTGAGCTAGGTCTGAAAGGGTGGCTAGAATTAGGCAGGTGATGGAGAGCAACAGTTCCTGGCCAGGGAACTTTAGAACAAGAGAATGGAAGTGAGAAACTGTGCAATTCAGTGCACAGATGAAGGCAGGAACTAACATAACAATTAACATTTATTGAGCCATGACCGGTTACTGTCCTGTTTTTTCAACATACATAATTGCATTTAACCCTCACAATAACCCTAACGGGTATATATTATTAACTTCAAAAGTTAAGGAAACTAAAACTCAGAAAAATCAATTGACTTGCTCAAGGTCACAGAGCTAGTAAATGACCTAGCAAGGATTCACACTTGGCAATCTTAATCACTGTTACCCTCTTACCTCTGCACAGATTTAGAAAGAACTTGAAAGTCACCTGATTCAAACTGCCACCTACTATTGACATCTTGTTTACTATACTCCTGGCACAGTAATCCAGCTAGCGTTTGAACACCATGCCAGGTGCTCACTACCTCACAAGATGGACCTGAGACAACCTTCTCCCTTCTAGTCCATCTCTTTGTAATGTCACCCAGCTCCATCCTTTAGAGCCACACAGACCTGGTCTAGAGTCTAACTCCTACCAGCCCTTGAATCCACTTTTCCTAGACACACAGCAGAGGTTCCTTTGCTCCTTGGCTGTAAACAAATAGGAGCTATAAAGAGTTGTAGGTGGGGTGCAGAGGAGGCATAAAGGGGGTGTCCCCAGTCCTCCTTGGAGGAGGCCACTAAAGGCGTTGGAAGCAATGCAGCTGGTCCTATTGGGTCTTCACCAGGCAGGGAAGCACTTTAAGCAGAGCGAGCGGTGAAGAGAAAGATCCAAGGATTCCAGCACCCTTTCGTTTGCTCATTCACTCAGCATTCAGTTGCATATTATGCCAGGCCCTGGTCAGGGTGCTGGAGAGATGCAGTGGTGAGGAGGCTGACACGTTCCCCATCCTCATGGAACATGAACCAGCAGTGGACAGAGCAGAAGGAGCTCCGCTGGACTGGATGGTGGGGGTCAGGGTGGTCCTGGGAGGAGTACGATAGGACAGGTAAACGGAGCCTGTGATAGGCAGCCATGATAATGTGCTTCTAATAAGCACAATAAAATAAAATGGTGAAGGCTTCTTTGAGGCAGCAAGACACTTAAAAATTAGCCTTGATGTTTTTTTAAGAAGCAGAAAAAAATCTGAGGTTGAGTTTAGACTTGGGCTGGGGATTGTTAATGCTAATTCTTGGAGGAGAGCAACAGTCGCAACCCCAGTGGTTTCAAATAATCTTTA